GAGTCCTTTCTGAGCGTGTTCTGTGCTCTGAAAAATACAGGACCTCGAAGAAATCCTATAATTAGTCGCTTCTACGTCCGTGGACGAATTAAATCGCCTTGTAGTTCGGTGAAAATCGTCCAAAAAAGAATGGTCGCCGCAGAGAAATGGAATCGTTGAAGAAAATTGTATTTGAATGCATATCTATAGAGATACTCGTGTATATTTTTAAAAGTCCATTTCCCCCTCCGAAGATATTTGTAAATCTAACGGAGCTTCGAAATCTCTAGGAAAATTCGCATATTTGAAAATTTTGTACGATGCATTTGCATTGCTATACTTTAGACGTGTCTCGCTTATCTACTTTCCATGTAATATGAAAGAATTCTGCGCAGGTTTCTAGGATTTTCCTCGCACCAAATTGGAACGAGAATGTAACCACTATTTCATGATCTCTATAAAATTCTGCGGGCTTTCGCTTACAGCAGCGTAGAATCTTCTTTTCTTATTGAAATTCATAAATGGTCTAATAAATTTAACACATTTACTAAACCCTATACCATTTAACGTACCGTCGGGACCACTGAAAAGCGTAATCTTTCGTAATATTCGCTACAACCGTAACGCGCATTGGCGAACATCTCCGATCAAATACTTTTTCAATTAAATTCATCGAGAAGGGCTAAACAAAATTATCTCTCGACGAGGTTTTGTTCAATCCCCGATGATTTAATCAGCAGCGGGTTACCGATAGGACTATCAGGTGTTCGTGGCCGCGAAGTGGATTCCACAAACTTAGTCGATTCTCATTTACTCCGGGCTAAACCTGATTAGCAGACGGAAAATCCTCGAATCGAGCGATCAAAGGAGCAACTCGCTTACGGGGAAGACGGAGCAGGGGAATCGAATTAATAACACCGAAGTCTTCGATCTTAATTAACGCTCGCGCGTTTGGGGGATGATCGTACACACTGTACCTCGACAATTTCTAATATTCCTCTGCGATAAATTCGAACTGGTCAAAGTGAATCTGTCTTGGAAAGAGCCACATCGTTCACGGTTTAAAGATCTAAACGCTTAAAGGTGAACGTTAAATGCGCGGAAAACTTTAAACCGTACACCGTCGAAATCATATATAATTGGCTTTAGCGTTCCAAGTGCTATCACCGCGCGGAAGCTCGTTAAAAAGTAAGGGTTACACCTGAGGAAGTTTCCTTGTTAGTCCCTACGGTGTTCCCCCAAGGCTGGGACACGCGCAATCTAGAAGCAACGCGCTGCTGCACGGTCCTCGTCGCAATTGGACCGAAAACTCGCGTGCTCGACCTCCGATGTAATTGCAACGAAACGCAAAGAAACGAGACTGTTTGCACGGGCAAGGACGAGCACGCGCGACAAATGCAAGAGATTAGGACGACGACGGGAGGACGAGAGGGGTAGGTGCAACGTTGCCCCCGAACTGGCTCGTTCGCGATAAAAGACAAACGAAAGCTCGGCTGCACGGGACGGTGTCGTTCTTTCGTTTCTACGTGGAAACGACCGGGTGAAACGGCCCGGGGATCGTCGAAAGGTTCCTCGTCTCCGAGGAAAACCGACGGAAAGGCGAAACGCCACTCCTCGGAATGGAAACGTTAAACTTTGCGGCCGCGTTCCCCAACGCGATCGATCTCGAAACGAAAGACAGTGGATCGGAGTTCACAGTGAAATATTTAATCGTTCAAATTGCAATTTTTTTATGAAATTTCTAAACCACCGAAATGGGGAAACGTTCCGATTTGTCGCGCTGGGATGGCGGTTCTGCACCACCGCGCGACGTCATAATTTACATTTACTGCCGCAGGGAGGGAAGGGGAAATTTGCATTTCGTTATATTGTGCTCGCTTGGAAAGAGTGCAACATAAATTTACGAGGCTTGAGGCTCGCGGAGTAGGTCAACCTATGTTTATCCTCGAGGATCAAGTGACCACGATTATATGAACTACCGGGAGAATGCTTAATTTGTCATCGTAAAACTCCGGGCTGGTCCTTACACCTTCGCTCAAAATCGTTTCTAGAATTAATTAAATTGGCACCGGGGATCTTTAGAAAATCGTACTTTAAAGCGTCGCCAACCGCGTGACGCTACATTTCACGCAAATATGTCACTTGTCTTCAAATCATACTCCGAAAGAAAATATAAAAGCATCGATGCAGAGAGATATCTTGAAAGATGAATCAAAAATATCGACGCACAAAAGTGAAAAAGAGAGTCCTGGCGACGTTACAGTTTATATTTACTGCAAACTGGAAATCGTATGACACGCCACAAGTGATATATACACTAACAAAAAGCCAGGAAAATATTGACCAATTTTTCTAGAATAATAATGATCGAAAGTCTGACCAAAAACTTACTTACTCTACTGACTCTGAAAATAGAGCTGTTTGTGATATAACAAGATAATCCGTGATAAAAATAATTTCGTATTAGCGTCCGGACTTAAGAAAGAAAATGTTGACGGTAACGAGAGGTTTAATTAATACTGGGTTTCCATAGTTGCGTGCCTGGCGTGTTGATTTTCCCGCGGCGCGGAAAGTTGTAAGTTCGCGAGGATGGGAAATGAACAATTTCAGCGACCTCGAGGCGGAGGGCTGTCGGTATTTCTTCCAAGTTTTTCCGCGGGGCTTCTTAACGAAGCATAACGTTTAACGAGTCTCCTCGAGCGAGTAAATCAAAGATAAATCCCCGGTCTTAACCGTGGCTTAACCTATGCTAAGCGGGCTAAACCTCCTTGCCTAGAACTCGGCCGCACGGAAGACGGCCGAGTCGCATAGATTACAATGTAGCTTAATTGAGTTAGCGCCTTCTCGATGGCCGAGGACGGTCGGTCGGACGTCCTTTTAACATTTTAACCCGTATAATCGGACGAGTCCTCGGCGCCAGGAACGTTAAACTGCACCGAGGCTCGCCGAAATTCGCTGTTTAATTCTTCGTCGTTCGAACAATGAGCCTTTCACGGTAGGGAGGATCGATTGGTGGATACAGCGATCTCCACGATCCCGTTCAACCACTCGCGAGTAATTAAGTGTCTCTCCGTCGACGCGATACCTAACCAACGAAAGGTGGTGGGGGGAGAATCCCCGAGGGGGGACGAGATTACAAAACAATCGAACAAACCCCACCTCCCCCCAGCGGAGGAACGAAAACCGGAGGCGAACGGGATCGAAGAGAATCTCTCCGTGGAGGGAGGAGAAAAGAAAAAAAAAGGGGAGAAGAAATCTTGATCTGCTCTGTCATTCCGCGCCACCTTTTCCGAGATTCAAATGGCCTCGTTTCGAATCGATTTCGAATTATCTTCGGCGAACGGATTCCCCCGGAGCGGGGATAAAAGGAGAGTCCGTGTAATGGAGGAAACGGTTGAAACGGAGGGAGAAAAACCGGCGTGTGGAGCGAGAAAAGAATGGCCGCTGGGAAGACAAAGAACGAGTCCTCGAAGGACGTCTCTCGTCCGATTAAACAGACGCGGCTGCATTTGGCAAGGTCTTGCGCCAGGCTGGCAAGCCGTGTCCTGGTTTTGCCTACTTGTTGGCTCCAACCCTTGCCAGGACTTCGACGAGACCCTTCGTCGACTGATCGAAACGCGATTCCTTCGTTCCGAAGACACCTCGAAAGGCAACTTAACGTTATCTGGATACCGATCCTTTCAGAAATTTTTTGGATGGAAAACGACAGGGCGCTGCGTTGCGTTTGCACGGTTCTTCGTTCCGTCGCGCGAGACAAACAAGAACGAAACAAGATATAATGAAACTCTGTCCCGGGGCTGGCCTAATTAAACGTTCCATCGTGCAGATTTGGAAAGGCCTCGTTCTCTCGTCCGCCCCTTGACGTCGTCAGAGCTTCTTTTTCCCCCCTCCACCCCTTGGTACCGCTGTCATGTTAATTCGTCCTGGAGAGCCCGAAATTCTTGAACCAAACGCACTCGTTTTGTCTCCCCGTTAGCGGGGACAAAAGAGAAACGGTACAAAAGATAACGGAAACATGGCGCTCTTTTCATCCGGTCTGATTAAACAACTAAGTGCACCGTTGGTATCGTCTTTAGCGGCGGAAACGACCTGATAAGCCGTCAACCGCGTCTTCCTCGCTCCCCCTCCCCCCCTCTCGCGTTGTCAATCCTCACAAAGGGAACGACGGAGTCAAAGGATCTAAGGTAATAAAGAACACCGGCGTTATTGTTCGTCCAAGGCGTTAACTAACGAAAAACGTTCGAGTCACTTCGTACCCAGTGCGATGTATCGTCGCGAGATAAATTTGTAATAAAGACGAGAACCGTGACATCTTCGATCGTAAAAGTTATCCGCGCTTTCTGCTCCCGGGTACAACGTGCTCGCAATAATAAAGAATCTATCCGTTTTATTTTCGGTCGCAATTCCCTCGACGTACCGTCCCGATATCCGAGCCACGCGAAAAGGGAAGAGAAACTTCGTTGCAATAAGTCGGAAGGTCCGTAAACTGGGCACTGTTTTAAAATCGTATCAATTATATTTTAACATTTTTCGAAACGTCGATCTCGACTCTGATATCTCGTTTGGCCGAAGGGTAGCGTTTCTAAAAATACGAGTGCTCGAGCATTAATTTCGTCGGGAGGAAAAAAGGGGTAGCAGGTTGATAACGCTACTGACGTCGCATCGGTCAGGAAGAAGTAGTCGCGAGACAGCTCACCGCGCGTTTATCGTTAATTTATCGCGAACGTCGAGTGTAACGAGAGACGAAATCGCGTACCGAATCTCGCCAGGGTTCTGAACGCCGACGGGAAAGAAACGGATCGAAGGCTGGCGAACGCGTGCAACTAATCGTTCTGCAAATAAAGAGATGCCGTGGGCCGTTGTGGTTTAACCCCTGGACGATCGTAAACCCGCCATTGTATGCTTCCTAAATTTTTCTAAAACATTTCAGTTGTTCTCGACCCCTGTGCATCGACGATGGTTTTCTCGCGACGATTAAAACTGCTCTGCGTAGTTTTTATTATAAAAATTGTTGATTTCAGAACCAAATACTGGCGCACAACACGTCGGCGAGGATAATATGGTCGAATCAGAGCCTGGTGCTGCAAAGCGTGACGAGGAGCAGCGCCGGGGAGTATGTCTGCGCAGCGACGAATGACCTGAACGAAACGCGGAGCGAGCCACTTCATTTTCGCGTGAAATGTAAGTACATGTCGCGTTGGAGCCTTCAACGATCGCTGCCGCCGCGGCTCGGGGCCGTAGTTTATTTTAATCGAGCAAAGTTAATCGAGGATTTTCCATGGTGCTCGGTAACGAGTCTCGTATTCACCGACGGAGCCCGGCCGTATATGGCCGCGTTCCGTACCGTAAGGGGTTCGCGTATTTATTCCGAGGCGGATAGACCGAGGATCTCGGCGAGGGCTGAATATTTCAGGCGTACTTAGTTCTAGCTACATTTTTGATATCCAATTCCCCGGGTTACGCCGGAGCCAACCGCCAACTGCACTGCGGTCTCGAGGAGCACCAGATTCTCCCGTCCGCGAACCGGTCTACGAATTGAATATCTCAGATTTAACAAGCGACCCCGATCGCTCTTTTTCACCCCTCCTCGTTCTGTCGCGAGCGTTACCAGACGTATAACGGATGGTCACTTTTAATCGACCCTCGCCGGACCTCGTTAGACATAGGAAATTTACTTTAAGCGCAGCCTAAAAGAGACATTTTCCACATATTCCTTTTTATCCGGAGGCAGTGATCTACCGAAACCTCTCTCGAACTGTTGGAAATGTAAAAAAGGTGTGAATAGATGAATTATTCCACTCGTCATCAAGTCTCATATAATAAAATCAACACATTCCTTGTACGAACAAATTTAAAAAAAATTGAACGCGTTCGACGAATTATCTGATATTAAATCGCACGTCAAGGGGTTAATAAAGCCGCCTTTTCGAGTGGAAATGAATTTTCAACAAAAAAATAAAAAATAAAAACACGAACCCGTAGAAACAATGCATATTCATGCGGACACAATTTTCGAACGCGAACACTGCAATTAATTTTGAAAAAAACCATGAATATTTTATGTCTTCGACACCGTTGTAACCCCCGGAATAGAAGAACGAACGTTCGAGAAAATTATTACCTCTGCTTCGAGGGTGGATAAAATCTTAAAAATTCAGGCTACCGGAATATTGAAAAATCGATGTTCTTAAACGGTCCGGGTAATTTGGTGGGGTTAAAAATGGATTTGTTGGGTCGCTTAAAAACAAGTGCAAGTATCCTTTACCGTTCTGCTGGCGAGACACCATTTACTCGGTGCTCGAAGCCATTTATGCGAGTCGTAAAAACACGAGTCTAGGTACGCCCGCCGACACATCGAATATGGATGCGCCGCGAAAACCACCCCCTGATATTTAACCGCGGCTCGTCACGGCCTCGTAAAGGCCGAGGAAACGATCCGGGATAAGCAGCAATCTCTCGCGGGAATTCTCGAATCGAAGTCAACCTCGTGTCTGGATTTAGTTTCCCGGTTATTACATCGCCGCCCCGCTTCTGGAAATGACATTTGCTTTAGGCTATTCACGTCCACCCAGAAATGAGGTTTCCTTCTGCCGGGCCGCGGGATTTAAATCAATTCCGATCGAAACTCGGGAGTGACGACCTCTCGAAAAGACGTTTCGACGGTTTTTAAAATTCCTCGCGAATCGAACCGCGCTCGAGAAACCACCGAATTCGCTGTGCAAAAATTTCGAGATATTTTCAAGCGTCGTTGTAACAAAGTAATTTGTAACTTGTAATTTGATTTAAAAATGGGGGCGAACAATATATTTTGAAAAATCTGGTCACACGAGTGAATTGATTTCGAAACGGTTATCGGGGAGAAATGTTGAACGTTGACGGCAATGAAGCGTGTGGAGGGGGTGGTGGGGAACGACTAAAAAATCCGTGGCGTAAAATCAAAGGGCGCGAATGGCTTAAACCGTTCCCGCTTCGCGATGGCCGCTGTCACGGGTGATAATTAAATTTCATACACGCTATTTAAAAGCGCGCGTCGCGGTGTCGCGTTCGACGATTCTCGTCGTTAATTCCGAATTACAGACCGTAGGGCGCGCGTACTAACGACGAACGTTTTCGGTGTCGCGCGTTAATTATAGTGGAAAACGAGCGTGACCGTCGCATTTCCTCGACGCGTTCGCTACGCAGCGTTCAATTTTCACGCTGAAAATGTTTAAAAAAACAACGAGTGTCTATCGCGATGCGATCATGAAGTTTCCAGACCGATCGAGGGGTGGTAATACCAACGACAACAACCCTTATAAGTAACGTCCCGGAAAGTGACCACCCTTCGACTTCGAGGGGGCTTGTAGACCGACCAAAATCGAGGGGCGCGTGTTTTCTTTAGCCGGAGTAAGTCTTCCTAAGTTTAAGGGCTGAAACTACCCTCCAAAGTTTCAGTCCACCGATGCTGTCTTTAAAACTATCGGATACACAGCGGAAGTCTCTTAACCCCGACTGTCTAAACAGCCTCTGGGAGCCCCGGTTGGCCAAACACGCGTAATTTTTACAGCGCCTATATGGAACACGAAACGAGTGAAAATTAACGGGTGCAGGCGAGATCAAAGGACGCGCTCGAACGGAAGAAATTATTTTAATGAAAAATAAAGTTTTAAATTACGGGAACGAGATAAAACTGGTATTAACGTTTTGGCCAAAATTTCGACGAATGCATAATTCATGGGCTTTCCGCGCGCCTTGCAGTACGATGTAATCAAGTGGCTCTCTGCACAGGGACAGAAGTTGCAACAATAAATAATAATATTTTATATTCGTATTCCGTTGAATTATTGAAACGCCAAGTTTTGCATAAAAGTGCATTTATGCGTAACTCCAACGCGTTCGGTTTCGTTTTTAATGGCCGAACGTGTGTAGTTTCTACGCTGGAAACGGCTTCTCGAACGCTTTCGCGTTAAACAAACTCTTTATGGTTTTCGGCGAGCCTTGGAACATTTTTTTAAAGGATCGCAATACGCGGACAAAGATAAAAATTCTCAAAGAGACTCGCGAACGAGTAACGATGTTGATCGTTTTATCAAAGTAAAAGGGATTACGGTCGCCGTGGACTCGTCCCTGACAAGCGAAACGCGAACAGAAAATCTGACGTCAAGATCGCGGATCGTCTAACGAAATGAATTCGTACCGTCGTGCCCGCAATTAAATGACGGTGAAACGTGATTCTTGTTGTCTCTCGATGTTCCCCAAAGAAAGCTATCGCGGTGCCGCCTACTCGACAGACTCAGCCACGGTCTGCCTCTTTTTATTCCCTACATTAAAAATGACGTTAAAAGGGCCAGCTTTGAGGACGTGCCGACGATTCAAAGAAACGTAACGAGGGAACTGCACGCCATTCCGGAAGAAGCTTTTTTTGAGAAGCTTCAAACCACTACATCAGGGGTCGGCAACCTGTGGCTCTTGAGCTGAATTATAGCGTCTCTTGATCCGAGTAAAATTATTTACATCGCGTCTGATGGCTTAAACGAACCCCGTGTTTCGAACAACGGAAACACGCAACGCAGCAACCTTTGCCATCTTTTCTAAACAGAAACGAAAACATGCGCTTTCGAGCTTGAAAAAATTGATGATATTCACTCTCGAGGAAATTAATCCACTTTCCGGATACTTTAAACAGGATATCGTTGTCTTTGTTCCGCAGACTTCTTCATTCGATAAGGATAAAGTTCCGTCGTCTGTTAATATGCCGCAGATGCAAAAAAATTCTGCTCCTTTGTAATTGAAAAGCCGCGCCTCTCGCTTTCATCTCTTCTTCTTGGCCACTTCCAGTGTTTACCGTCTTTTTTCCATTCCGTTTACCCTAACGGTAAGTCCCCGACAGTTATATTACTCCGCGTTCTGGTTTACTTTTCAATTCTTTAAAAGAATCCCGTGGAAATTTACCATCGAATCTAAGGAACAACGAATGGTAGTTTCAATCTGCAGCAACGCAATATTTGTCAGGAAAATAGACCGTAACTTTCGTTTGCTCGTAGAAAAATTGCTAGTAAATTCGAATCCACGATAAATTTCCGGATCGATGGTAGTAATTTCTTTAATTTGTTCGTTGCGCGAAACGTTATGGTCGTGCAACGAGCATATTTCGGGGACCACGTTCGCCGCGCCATTGTGCGTGTTAACGAAACTTCGCGGAGAGCGCGCGCCTGTTTGCGGATCCTCTTATATTTATTTGGCCCCGGTGCCTCGGACGGTACATTTTGCAAATTAATTCCTTCGTTGTGGCGGTCGTAGCCGCGCGAACGTTTTTTCCGCGCCGATGAATCGGACGGGAACAAAAGCTGTTGAACGAGAAAGAACTGTATCGCTCGATGACGCTTTTGTACTCGAAGCTTGACGTCAACTGCCATTTACTGAATTGCGCGCGGTAACTAAATAAAAGGAGTGGCAAACAACACGGGGGTGGGGGGGGAGGGGACCTTTGTCGAGGATAAAAAGGAAAAAAGAGAGGGGCAATAAACTAACCGCGCTGCGGCTTTGATTTTGCGGGATTTCAACTCGAACGTGACGACGATACGCGGCCCGGCGCTGATCCTTTGAAAATGAATGAAAGCGAATTGAACGTTGATAAACGAGTGAAAAACGAGCCTCGTTCGTCACTCTAGCCGTGATGACCGACCGTGGAAGCCATCGGGACAGTATCTTCCGGCGCGAAGGTGCCCCTAAAAAATTGTTCCCGAAGATTGCCTTAACTCGTAAACGAGGCCATATCTCCGCTCGAAACGGCGGATTCTTAGCTTTCGTGGCACGATTCTGTCTCTTTGCGACCGTGACTCTTTCGTCTCTCCCAAGACAAGATCTTATTTTCACCCCCCCCGCGCGGTCTTCTTTTGCTTTCAATTTCGAGCCATCCGGGACGAGCAACGTCGACAAAGCGGCCATTTTTGGGATCTTACGGAAACGTTACAACCAAACTTTTTTTACTTCCGTGAGAATTGATCGATTCAGTCGATAAGTCTCGGCGACGAAAGCCTACCGGTCGGTAAAGCGTTAACGATGAAGTAATACTTACCAACCGGATAAGATTTATCGACGTAGTCATATTTTCGAAAGGCAATCCCCGTCGGTGAGGATTGTCGAAAGCGGTAAAGTTACTCGAACGTTGATTCAGCTTCGTCACTCCAGGATATTACATCGCCGGTGTTGGGGAAACCTTTTATCTATTCCGAGCCGATAAGATACGTCCATCTATTTATCTCTCTTATGCCACAGAGCGAAAGGGGAGACGAATGCAGGGAGAAATAGCAAAAGCAGATAAATTGGACGAAATATATATGTACGTATATAGGTGGAAATGTGACGCGGCAGGTGGAGAATCTTTTTGCATCAGTCGCGAAACGATTTCATCCGAGCAAAGGTCCCCTTTCTGACAAAACTGCGAGGCGTGCTCCGAAAATTTTCGTGACGAGAACCGTGAATAAACGCCCCTCGTCCTCGAATATCCTTCAAGCCAGGAGGATGTATCATATACGATTCAAGTTCCGGTGTAGCGCAATCATTCTCGAGTTCTCAATGTTGTCATCAAAGTACCATGGCGTCTCTCGTATCTCGATTCTATATATATAAGTATATATATATATCCTTTTGCTTTCCCCGGCGTTGCAAAGCGTCGCAAAGTCTCTGAAGCTTCTCTATAACGTATCCCAGCCTTGGAAATCACTCATTCCGTTTTGAAATCGCGATATTCTAGAGTCGAAAGCTTTAATTCCAACGTAGTTAGGTCCCTCCGTTGCACACCGTTCTTTAGAATTCGTCTCTTCGAACCTCAACCTGGGGTATCGCTTTGGACCACTGCTGGGGCTGTAAACAAATTTACATACTAATAACATTTTATCTGTTATCGAGTTAGAAAACACATAACTGTGCACGTTTACTTGGAGGCACTACAGTTGCCCAAACTTAGTGTGTGACCCGAAGTTACATCGCGATAGAGTTAGGGTAACGCGATCAGAAGTGAAACCTGAAAGTGACAAACCAAGACGGTGTAAACCACTTTATGTCGTGTGTTGTTTGATAAGCTGGACTAAATAGAATCAGTAAGTTGGCCTAAATTTTTCGGCAAAAATGAAAAGTTTCAAATCGTTCTAAAAAAATTATTTTCGATCGAAAGGGCTAATTACAATCATTTTTGGTGAATAGACATACCTTCGAATTCCTACTCACTTTCGAGAAAAAAAATTCCGTAAGTGGAGAAACTAAAAAATATCGAAGCGTTTAAAAAAAATTATTTTCAGTTGGAGGGATCGATTACAATCATTTTTGGTCAATAGACATACCCCCGAAATCTTACACAGTTTTGAGAAAAAAATTCCTAACCGAAAATCTAATGTCTGACCATACATTGATATGTTTCCCTGAAGTTTCATTTATCTTTAAAATGCCGTAACTTCTGAACGGATTGGGGGATTTTAATGTTTCAAACGGTGAACAACGCGTATTTTGGCAATGAATATGTAGGAATTCAAAGAAAGTTCGATAAGTTATTCCTTAATCCCGTAAACTGAGAAAAACTCCTATCACTTCTTACGTAAATACGTTGCCCCAGTCCCGAGTATACTGGAAAATCGGAATTCGACTATATACTGTTTTAAATTCTTTACAGGTAAGAAGATGAAACATATTTGAGTCACGTGTGGGGGTCAGGTGGACTGTAAAATTGTATCGTAAAGTATCGAACAGTTGACGAAGGTATGATCGTTTGTTTCAGTCGCGCCCGTGTGCAAGGAGGACCGGATCATAGTGGTGGGTGCGTCGAGGGGCGAGTCGCTCGACATCGCCTGCAGGGTGGAGGCCGATCCGCCGGCGCACAATTTCCGATGGAAATTCAACAACAGCGGGGAGACGCTGGAAGTAGCGCCTGGCAGATTCTCGATGGAGAAGTCGAGCGGCGTGAGCGTGCTGAGGTACACGCCGACCACCGAGCTGGATTACGGTACTCTGTCGTGCTGGGCGGACAATTTCGTCGGTACACAGGCGAGACCGTGTCTCTTCCAGCTGGTAGCCGCCGGTGAGTATTTACTGCATCTCGGTAAACGTTACACCGTGCTTCAACGGCATCGCGCTTCGCCCCCCCTCCCGAGTTCTCCGTAGAGCGGTCAGGAAATCGAGTTAAAATCCTTTCTGGCGGGCAGAAACGAGCCTGTTTACGCTGCGAAACTATGACCTTCCGCGTTACATTTCGACCGACCCGTGAGCTTGCAAACACGATACTTTGTGGCCAAGCGACCGAGCTTGTCGCGATCAACCGCTCGGAACGACCAAGGGGCGAGGGTTAACCTTATAAAGACCGGCGAACGAACCTTGAACAGCGATCCACCAAAATTCTCGAGTCGTTTTAACTATATTTTCGCCACACGCGGGGAAACAATTTTCAAACGTTTCCCATTACCTTCGAAATTTTCTGATGAATTTCAGCGGGACCTGCGCACGCGCGATTTCTTGAAATTCAAAACGCAACGCGGAACGATCGTAACGATGACAATTATGCGAGCAGTTGCGGACGGGAAATGAAAGAAAAACGGGAGGGAAAGAAGTCCCGGAGCACGATTCCACTCGGAAGGTCCTTCGTGCGTAAATTATTCAGAGGCCGGGGCATTCCTGGCGCCCTCGAGCCCGAAACAAACCGCCAAGTCTATTAACGCCTCGATTATTTACCCTTTCGAAACCGTGATTCTCCTGCCTCTAAAGATCTTTCCAATTAGTTGAAAAGCGATCGTTAATCAAGCTCGCCCCTCTCGCCTCTGTTGCAGCGCAACGAGCCCTCGAGCGATTCGTGCTTACTTTCTTGCGCGCGTGGCCATTATTTACGTCCGTGTTTACGGAATATCTAACTTGATAAATGCAAGGTTACAGTTTCGTGACTGGGTTTCTTATCGGCGCGCCAAAGTCCGCCCTTCATTTGTCAAGGAAAGCGGCGAACCCGGGACGAGACGAAACGAAAAATGCTCTGATTTAAAAATCAATGTTTACGATACATCGACCCGAAAATGGCAAACAATTTTCCAATAAAGTAGAAATAAAGGAAGAATGATAATCTGTCTTCAAAGCAGAGAAAAAACGAGCGACGTCGAGTACGTCCATTCGAAACGAGCAGTCGAAAGTAATTAAACGCAACGGAACGGCGCACAGGAACGAAATTCTGCACGTCGATAATTAGAGGACAAGCGACATCCAATCTACAATTTATATTTTATTATACGACGAACGATGCGAGCGAAAATTGAAAAGTGCCGTCTAAATTTAACGTTTCTGGAATAACCGCGTCGGCAAACATTTCGTTGCGACCATATTTACCTCGTCTATTCGCGGGGTATGATGATATGTGCGGGAGCAAACCGAGTTAATCAATAGCTCGTTAATTAATGAATTCGAAACAAATTGCCGACGTTACTTTTCCAATTGGAAAATCTCAACTCGCGGCGTTTCGCGGTAACGCGGCCCCTGTTTCGCGCGGAAAAATTTGTTCACGAAGGGCCACCGTGTTTTCCGAGGGAACCGCGATGGGGGGGTGGAACGGGGGGCTGGCGTGCCAGGGGAACGAACGGTCAAAATCCTGACAGATATTCGGGAATTATCGTCGCGCGTACAATGCGATGCAACCAATCATCGCGCGGTAAACCCGACGTTAATCCGCGTGCGGATTTTGCGCCGGCTCGGGACGCGTCGACGTCTTTTTTCCCGCGTATGATCGAGAATGACGTTGACGCGACGACCTGCCGAAACCGTGTTGACGTTGACGAATACACGCCCGAGGTACGCTCTCGTCCAAATCGACACGTTTCCCACCTTCGCGGTCCAAACATTTTTCCTCTCGCTTCCCCCTTCCCCGCTTTTCTCGACCAACAAACAACGCGTCCTGTTTTTAAGAAACGTTTATCGGCCCCAAGGGAGCAGGGAACCCTGTACAACACACTGGAAAAGCACATTTTCGAAACTATTTTCAACAATATTCTCTTAACTGGGGAGGGTGTAAAATGGTGAAACGAGAATGTTTGACAATTTTTTTACAACATAAGGGTTCCATGAAAGTTTTCACCACTTTCCACATATATTCTTTAACATTTGAAGATGGAAATATTTTTTTTTTCTTATCGATTTTGGATGAAATAATACATGTTATTCCATATGTGGATGGCATTGATCGGCGTGCAGTCCAGCATTTTTTCTTTTTATGTAGAATAAAATATCGAACGATATTTTGTTCGTAATAGCATACTTCCTAATAAATTATGTTTATTGCATAATTAAATTAGAAATTTATTGCAAGAATTTTAGTACTATTCTGAACAAATGTATCTTAATATTCGTGTTTTCGAATCGATAGAATTTTTTGTTTTTATTTAGTATACAATGAAATTAGAGGTATCTATGCACCGTAGATCTTGGAGAAACAAAGATTTGTACTTTTTCAAGTTTGTGAAAAGACTGTTGGTATTGATGTTTACAAATATCTAATTTATTATATCATAACGGTTGCTTATTCTGCAACATAAGGACTCGTAGTAAAATCGAGGGCATTCCGGTTGGTCGTCGATCGAACCGAAAGCTTGGGCGAGTCTCTTTCGTCCGCAGCGACTCGGAAAGCGACCCTCCACGGAATGAAATTTTATTTTCAAGTCTGTAGTTATCGGTATCGGGTATTGCGTATGCGGAATAGCGTATTCGAGAGCCACGAAAAGAAGCCACAAAAGCGCGCATAAAGGCGGTTCTAATCTACCCATTTAAGAAGTATATTTCCACGTATATTTTCTCAATCGTTGAAATTCGAAAAGCGTCACGTGGTTCGGTTTTAAACGCTTCTACGAAAGTACAATGATTTTGACAAATTTAATAAATATAAACACTCGAAGACGACTCTGTTACAGTTATCGGATCGGTAGAATAGAGAAATCGTCTGGAAATTAAATTTGTTTAAACCCGTTTTCTTTAGGTTGAAGAAATGCATAAAGACTGAATCCTTAGGAATAAGCTGCTTAACATTTAGCTGGGAATAAAGTTGCAGCAAGGTGCACCACGGTATTCAGAAATCTTTCAATTTGTTCCGGATTCTATTTCTCTTTATATTCGTTATTCAATATCTTACTCGAAACTGAAAATGCTGCTGAGATTTATTTCTGCATTTAAATAAGAATTGAGAGACGTATTTTTATGAGTTCTGCAATTACAATAACAGCTAAAATATGGCGTTCTTATCATAAATTCGACAGACTGTCTGAAAACAATGTTCCCAGAAAAGTGCGTTTAAGGCCTCCTAACGTAATTCCAACCGCGTATACCGCTAACGAACTATAACTTGCTCAGCCTCCTCTGGTTCAGAATTTTTTTTGCTCCAAGATACAACGAACTGAGACGTTTCTAGTATAAAATCAAAACAACGTTGATCGTCAAGCAAGAGCATTGGAATTTCTATCATTTTCAGATATTTACACCTAATTTTTCCCCCCAACTCGCTGTATAATTTTACCTTCGACAAAAATTTGAAGCCTCCACGCTCGACGCTCGCTTAGAAGCCGGTTATCGTCGCCGAAACCGAGTTTCGATAAAACGTTTCGACCAGAATTTTCTCCGGAAACAGCTACTCGAGCGCGTGAAAAATTCACGCGGTTTGTCGTTTCCATTTTTCATGCCGGCCATTGGGAAGAAGTTGAAAAGAAGGAGGCCGGTTTATCGAGAACAGAATTTTCAATCAACGTCGAACAAAAAAAAAAAAAAAGGAATCCCACACCGAACCGCGTGCATATATTACGCGGCGGATGAAAATAAATTGAACGACGCTCAGGGGTGGCTAGAGGGGGGGAATGAAAACCGTCGGAAAATTCAATATATCTTTTCAAGCAACCGAGAGGTTCGAACGTCGGGCAAGACGGCGGGTTCGCGATTAACGCGAGTGAAATCCGTTGGCCGTTGCAGCGCTCGCGGGAAGCAAAGAGCCCTGTATAAATAGGTTTCGCGGGGGTTGTAGAGGGGAAACAAAGAAGAAACTTCGCGCGAGGGACGAGGATGCAAAGTGAAATAAAGGCGTAGAGGTTCGAAGGATACGCTTTCCGCCCGCTGCGCCGTCGGAAAAGGCGAACAATATTTATTTTCTCCTCGCCGCTTGGCGCCAGCGCGATAGCTTCGCTGTCTGTTTAAGGAAAAGGAAATTTTATTTCGAGAGAACGTCGGTAGGGAGAGGTGGGGAGAGGGAGAGGAGAGGACGAGTGGGAAAAAAAAATACGAGGACGGGGAAGAAAAATAGCGACGCGCGGGACCGTCGCCGAGTACGAGAAATCCGGGCGTCGAATCAGGGCTGCAACGCTGCTCTTTGACTGGCGGCGAAGAGAAAAAGGAATTTTCGTAGAACGCAAACTGCATCAGCGCCGGGTCGAAAATAAGGGGAAAAAAAGGAACGGGACGTCTCTGTGACCATTACTATCCCGGTACACTAAATCCTTGCCACTCGTAGACGCGCAAACATTTTTCACCGTTGGCCCAGGCCGAGCTTGATTTCCAGAGAGCTCCGGCCGCGTCGCTTTCAGCCAACCTGTGGAGCGCCCGAGCCTTCCACTGTACAAAGTATCCGGGAAATATTACCGGACAAAGGGCGACAAACGAGCCGGGCGCGATAATAAAAATGAAAGAAACCCGCGCGTCCGCCCATCGCGAATTAAAACCATCGAGGATCAACCCGACGTTCGGTCGATCGCAGTGTCTTGCAAACTACCACTGTGCTCGGGGGTAAATTGTTTCGAAGGGCGGGGGGACGTTGAACTTTGCGATTCCCATCCGTTCGAGCGAAATCTGCTCGCGAGAGGGAAGTTTCCCGAGAAATATCAACTGTATCGAGTTCCCTTTGACACCGAAAACGTTTAGAATAAAGGAGACGGACTCGAGGATCTCCGATTTTGACGAAAACTGGAGTCTGAGAAGTACGTGGCTCTGAAGTTTGCAATTTCTGGCTCCACGATTTCTTAGTAAAGAGATGAAACGATTAATTCTCGAGATCAGACGTTGAAATTGTTAGTAGCTTCTGATTATTTAAAAACAAAATTTCGTTTTCGTGGGCAGGTTGAAGGGTTTGGGTCTGTCATCGTGTTAAAAACGCGAATTCCAAGCAGACAATATCCCGTGTATCGTTTGTGCTAATAGAACACACGAGGATAATGAATTTTAAGCGGTTTGGACAACCGAAGGAGATCTTTCGGCGGGAAAACGACGAGAGCGGCGATTAGGAGGACAAAGAAGGCGCGCGGGTGATTTTGGTCGTTCGTTTGATTCGTCCAGCGGCCGGCAGAAGCTTGGATAATGGTCGTTTGCAGCCGGACGTGTGCGGACGTCGGTTCTGCGTGAGACCGAGGCTCTTTTGCTCTCGTTGCACGGAGGTTCGCGAAGCTCGCCCGGAGCGCAGGGATTACGCACAAAGTAACCGTGGAATATTGCGAGCCAAAAGGAACGAGAAACCGGCGGCGGTCGGGGCCCTGGCCGTTTACAATCGTAACGTTCTAAAGACCCAGCCAAGACTGAAATCCTTTACGAAGCAATTTCACGCGCCGAGTCGTTTTAATATTCGGGCATTTCCGGAACGTCAACTTTTTACTCGCCCCCTCCCCCCCCAGTCCTCGAAAACAGAGGCCATCTCGCGCTGTCGCGAATCGATCCCCCCAAAACTTCTCGCGAAACACAAATCCATGGCCACTTGGAAACTATTTTTCATCTGCAATTTCATTTCAACCCTTCGATTGATTTTTACCAAATTGGTTAATGGAAGTCAATTTTCCTTTAAAGCATTCAAAAAATAATGGAGAATTACATAAATCTTCGAATAATTAATAAACCTGTGGAGGGCTCAATAATCCACTTAAGGGTTAAATGATGAATTAAAACAGCACGAGAATCACTGGGAAGGTCGTAAGTATGAAATTGAAAGATTGAAAAGACGATTGGGCAGATGAAATTTCTACTTAATTATTGCGGCATTAAAGAGCTAATCCATTCCATAATTTAGCTCCAATTATGTCCGCGTGATGCACGGATACCGGTACCGTGTGCAGTATAGAAAATTAAACGCTGCTTTGTCCCGACAGATACCGCTACGCCCGACAACGGTGCACTAATATAAACGACAACACTTAAAACCAAATACAACTAAGCAACATAACTTGTTTCAGCAGTTAGAGAGATTAAACAAGGCTTGTTCAACAGGTCGTTGAGTTCTAATGTGTCTTGTTTCTAAACTAAGTTTGTTCTGTCTTCGCGGAATGAATTTATCTTCCAACAGAGTTCGAATCCTCCTTCCAAGACTGTGGAAAATCTAGCCGCTGGGCGGGGACGGAAATTAACCAATGACGAAGCACACTTCTAATTTCTGATACGCCCAACGACTATACACCAAATTTCTCGTTCGATATTTATTTAAATAGAAAAATAAGTTATCCCATCATAATCTGCTTCCTGTAATCCCTGTTGAAGCAGAACCATAGGAGATTACATCACGATTAGTCGGACTAGCCAACTTCTCTCTGCGTACAGTACACAGTTTCGTATTTTGTTGATTAACACTGTGAAATTGTAATCTCGTCATCGTTTTGTAATTTTTAAAGGTGAAACAGCACGCAAAGTCGTTGTTTGGAGGGTCGATGTGAAAAGTGAGACGAACAGGGCAGGTGGAAACTATTAAACGAAGCAATCCCCGTTGGGCGCAAATTACGCGGCTGCCGTTTAACCATGGGTGACGTTTTCTCGTTTCAGGGAAACCATTTCCGGTACGTAACTGTACGCTCGCGAACCAGACTTACACCAGCGTCGAGGTGAAATGCGTGGCTGGCTACGACGGCGGACTTCCGCAAAAATTCATCCTGGAGGTGTACCACGGCGACGTGGACTTCCTGTCGAGCAGCCAGCCCCTCTACAACGTTTCGAACACCGACGAGCCGAGTTTCTCTCTGGCGGGGCTGGAGGCGTCGGTGGAGGCCGGCGTCCACGTCGCGGTTTACGCCATGAACGCCAAGGGTCGGAGTCAGCCAGTCATCCTCAGCGAGGTCACTTACCGCGACGCGGAGAAACGAACCGGTGAGTCCACGATTCTGTCCTACTTTCTTACCCCATTTTTTCAATTCTATGCAACAAGAACCGTTCACGACATCGGTTTGCACCGTTATTTTCACAGGAAGAAAGCCCTTTTTTATTTTATTCCCTGAAAAGGATTACTTGGAAGTTCACCAGAAATTTGAGAAATATCACTTGGTGAAATAGTGATTTTGTTGTCTTATAATTAATTAAAGTGATCACGATCGGGCACACTATGTGCACTCCTCTGTGAATGTTTATTAAGAACTAATAATAGTAGAGCGAATAAGCCCATATTTAAACGTTTAAATATCAAATATTGCCCTCCAAATGATTTTAGCGAAAATAGTGGAAAATCCAATTCGACGCGAAGAATATTTAAACCTACGGTTAATATTTTATTTTAATCTGTTTTGGGGCACATAATTGGTTGCTCGTTAAACTATCATTTGATCTTTTATATATTTTTTCAACTATTCCCTCGAAAGTTTGCACGAATGGAGCACCCGCTTAATTAGAGCAAACTGGACCCGATGTACCAATTAACCGGAATCGATTTTATATCCGTATACCACGCTCGTTATTAAAAGTGAACAATGCCTCGCTAATACTCGTAATTTAAAATCATTTTGGCTTTTTCCACGCTAGAGCCGTGATTTCGTGTGCGCTGTCACCCGAGTTCGACCGCGTTTAATACCCCACGAATCTAAAATCAGGCAGAACTAATACTGGAAATAACTAAAAAAAATTGTGGACCACCCCAGTAGATGATTCTAAACGATTAGAAGATTGTACGATTACAGGAAACACTTCTAATTCAAGTGTACACAGAAATAAGTAGTAATATCGAGCATTGGTCAGCCAGGTCGACCCAGGCGTATTAAATCGTCCAAAACTAGGATTGAGAATATCAAAATAAACTTGTGGACCATCCCAGTAGATGATTCTAAACGATTAAAAGTTCGTACAATTATAGGAAACACTTCCAGTTCGAGAATACACAGAAATAAGTAGTAATATCGAGCATTGGTCAGACAGGTCGACCCAGGCGTATTAAATCATGCAAAACTAGGATTAATAACATCAAAATAAACTTGTGGACCGTCCCAGTAGATGATTCTAAGCGATTAGAAGATTGTACAATGATAAGAAACACTTCTAATTCAAGTGTACACAGAGACAAGTAGAAATATCGAGAATTGGTCAGACAGATCAGCCCAGTCATACTAAATCGTGCAAAACTAGTACTGGGAATATCAAAATAAACTTGTGGGTCATTCTAGTAGCTAATTCTAACCGATTAGAAGATCGTACGATTATATAAAGCACTTCCAATTCCTGTATAAGGAAAAACAAGTAGAAATATCGGGCATTGATCGGACAGGTTGGCCCGATCGTACTAAATCGCGCACGTACCTGACGTATTTTCAAAATCGATTCTCTCAAGAACGAAACCCTGCACGAAAACGTTTTACTCTACATTTTCGATTTACTTTTATACGTAGAATCGCCATCTACCCTTGCAATTCGTCTCGAAACACACCCGCGTCGAAAAAGAAAGGAAACAACCGTCGAACGTGCCGTAGCCTCGATTCTTTTCCTTAAAACGCACATTCGTGTTAGAAAAATGATTGCAAAATATAAACCTTAATAAAATCTATTTTATTTCGCCCCACCCAGGCTCGAATGATTAATGCGCGTCTCGCTCGGGTAATCATAATCATTAATCACCGGTTTGATCGCGAGGTGATCGCAAATCATTACTCATTAATAAGACTTCATTTCGCGCGACGCTGGTCGATGAAGGGGAAAGAAATAACGACGGAGATGACTTGCGGCCGGCGGTGAAAAAAAGAAACATTCGCCCGCGGTATCGCCTCTAATTGATCGCGGGACATCCGACCGCGGTGCAGCGGCTTATTAGCATAAGTATTTACGATGGAAAAATTGTTGTTTCGCGGAGAAACAGCTGGGCGTCGGAGGAGATAAGACCCGGGTAGGGTAAGGCGAGCGGGACAGAATGAAAAATCGCCTGTCGCGCGTAGGCGTTTAATCGAACAACGAACGCGTTAGGTTTGACCCTGATCAATATGGCGACCGATTGCTGGGAGATTAACAAAGGTTCGGGGGTATCCAGCGGGCAAGGTCGGTGGCTCTGTGGGTTCCTGCGGGTTCCTCGCTTCGAAACGGATGGCGGCTGTTCCCGAGTGGGTGGTGTCAACGACCGGGCTGGTAAGCAAGACGGATCACCGCCCCCGAGACAACACACCGGGACGAGTGCACCACACCCATTACTGGGTACGTCACGCTACTTAGGCCACGCTCGGAGAAACCGGTGTACGGAATCGTCCACCTCTCGAAAAAGCGACGGGAAAGCGCGCGAATGTCATCGATCGGCGGTGAAAACACGCGTTGATGCACCGAGGAAAACGCGAGGGCGGTGACAGGAGGGACACGTATGGTGGTGTACGGTGTAAAAAAAAAAAAAAAAAAAAAAACCGTAAAAGATTTGTCGCGGTTGGCGGGCAGTGTGTCACCGGGTGACGTCGTGTGTACACGCGTGATCGTAAATATCAACGGCGGCGCGGAGTTTACAACGAGGTAAAACGGAGGGCACCACCAAATCAATTGTCAGTAAAGTGATTTACGGTCGCGGCGGCGTCTATCAATTTGCGAGCCGGGAGATGCGAGCGAGCGTGGAACGCGCGCGTACATCGGCCTCCGCCTCGCGCGAGCTACAAACCAGACGCCGCGACTCCTCGTACATCAACTTCCCGACGTTCAAGAACAAACGACCATTACTTACTCTGCTCCGTCTCTCTCGCTCTCACGCTCTCGCCCTCCCTTTGGTATCTATCCACCTCTCAGACTGCATTTGATTATCTTTCGATTCGCCCTTCTGGCGGGCAAAGAACGGGGGCAGAGCCAGAGTCACGGCTACTTACCATTAAAACTCCCCTCGTTGGAACTCGATCGGTGAAACGACCAGTTCCCTAATGAACGGACCGAAAGTCGATTAGCGCGTAATTAGGACATTAGCTGGAAACTTGCGGCATTTAAATACCCCGGCTTCTCGTTCTTCCGGCGTTCTTCGACGTTGCCTTTCCGTTCCGCGTGTCTCGAGACGGACCACTCGCGGGACCATAACTCCCCCTTAAATGCAAAGGTATTTTCATCCTCTCTTGTCCATCGAGGAAACTTCTATCTATTGCCTGGTCACTGAAATTAGTCTCACAGTCTCGTTCCTTTTGAAGAATTCATTTTAAGAAGCTCTAGACTTCGTTTTGTAGTGCCTTCGAACTACGTTAGGGACACTTGCAACACACTCAATTGTATGTTAACTAAAATTAGTCTTATGGACTTGTTTCTTTTAAAGAATTCATTTTAAGAAGCTGTAGACTTCGTTCAGTATTGCCTCGCTTCTTGCAACGATCTGCGTTAGGGATACTTGCAACACAATCAATTGCAAGCTAACTATAATCAGTCTTATGAACTTGTTTCTTTTAAAGAATACCATTTGAAGAAGTTATAGACTTCGTTAGTATTGCCTCGTTTCTTGCAACGATCTGCGTTAGGGATACTTGCAACACCCTCAATTGCACGCTAACTAGAACGAATCTTATAAACACGGTTCCTTTCAAAGAATCCATATCAAGAAGTTATAGACTCCACTTACAATTAATATTGCCTCGCTTCTTGCAACGATCAGCGTTAGGGATACTTGCAACAACCCCTACAGTTGTCCAGATTTCTTCAATCAAACTCGACTGACTGCCAGTGAAATTAGAAGTCCGTTCGAACCGTTCCAAGAACAAAGTCCTCTCCAAGCGAACACGAATGGTACCGATTCGTTTGCAAGAAGCGAGGGAGTAGAGTTCGACTCGTGCCGAACTCTCGACACGCGTCTCGCGTAGCCTTTTTGCCCCGTTTCCGACCCGTTTCGGTGCGTTGGGAGGAATTTTTCCCGTCCGCCCCCCCACGCAGAGGCAACGAGCATCGAATTAAGGAAAGCAATTACAGATAATGGTCCCTACGGCGCCCGCCGCCGGAACCGTACGGAAGTCGAAGAGGAAAAGGGCGCAGAGAGCGAAGGAAAAGAAAGCGAAAGAACCCATCCACGAAAGATACGAATGTACAATGGTCATTAAGCGACTGCACCCTTCTCCGTCTCGCCCTCTTTGCTCCCGTCGTTCCTCCCTCTGTTGCTCGTTCGCTCGTCTTTTTGGACATTAAGCCGTTTCGTGTGCGGTAATTTTCCCGAGGTCATTTTTGCCGCTCTTCTTGCTTCGTCGTTAACTTCACTTAGCTCTGTTTACTCCCCGCGTCGTCGCCATTTTCCCTCCCGCCGTTCCTAACCACTCTGTCTTTCGCCTCTTCTCGCTCCGCCTCTCGTCAGACGTCGCCCGAAACTTTGCTTCCCCTTTTTTTCTGTTTTTAACCGCTTTAACCCCCCCTTCTTGTCAACCCGTTTTATCGTCGACCCACCGAACGCAGCTTTTTCCCCCCTCGTCGAGCATAATTCGCGTGGCCTCGAATTTCCTGCAAGACGAAACGTTGCAAGTTTCTTGTCCCTTGATCCTCGAACGTTTGGACGATAATTAATTGTTTATATCGCGCGTAATAGCTCGACCCGCGCATTCGTGTATCAATTTAATGGGAGCATTAATGCGTTACGAGGAGTCCACGCGTTCGGTGTTTGGTGTTTGGCGAATGGCGGGAACCGGATGTTCTCTTCTAACGTGCTGCTTGGCAAACGGATGCTCTCTTCGCCCATTTCCAACGCCAATCCAGAAAGCGCTCGTTTACCGAATTCCGGATACGCGGTTCCGCAAATACACTAATAATGCGCTGAATTTACTGACCGTGAATATCTATATGCATCCTGTAAAATGGCTACTTTCAGGTAGCACGGTACCGAGTGCTCGAAAAGTAAAACATCCAACGTTTATGGTAGATCTAAATCTCTGACTTCCGTTGAAGAGTAATATTATTAATACCAGTCC